AATTAAGATCGTATAGTAGGGTGAGACCATTCATATGATACCCTATAAATAAATAGGATTAAAAGTTAAATGTGGATATTCACATTGTATTGGGGCTTTTATGCGGGCTTTTTAAATAATGGGCTTCTTCCTTGAACTTTAAAAAGCGTATGTTCCAAATTCCACTAAATTATCTTGTGTCCTGTACTTTGTTAACAACTTTCACATGAACTGATGATCAGACGGACGGATAACGTTAAATCGTCTCCAAAAGTGATTCTGAATCAATCGGTATACTTTAAGGTGGATGTGGTACTAATTTTAGTGTGTTACGAACATCAGCAGAAATATTAAAATTGTGTTAAAAATTTTAATTTAATTATTTTGATTTACTTCGAAATTGTCCCACGTAAGAATCAGTATGGATTTAATTAACATTTTTGGTATTTGAAAAATTACCAATTTTAAACACTAAATTTGTCTTGTATGAAGTAAAAGAGAATATTTCATTAGGCTTTCAAAACATAATTAACCTATTATAACCCTGTAGGCTTTTAAACATTTCAGAAAAACTAAAAAATTTCTCGTGCGCCTTACAATTTTCTAATACTTTCTTAGGTTGTATCCATAATAATTTATCAAAAATTTATAAAACAGTCTTATAAACCATTAATAACTTACTATGAATGAGGCGCTAACCTCCATAAAGTTATTAATGCTTTATGGTAGGAATTTTGGGAAATGTTCTTAATAAACTAAAAATAAACTATTACTATCTTTATGAATACGAGTTAAGTCTTTGATTTTTCAATATACCTCCTTAAACTGAACTAATCAATAATTTTTATTTAAAGAGATTATTTTTCTACATTTTAGCTTATTTTTATTATCAAATTTTACAACCACCGCCACCACACACCATCACTTTAATAATTAGAAAAAAAAAAAAACTTAAAATGAAATAAAAATTACGAAAAAGCCATTCATGCTAGATAGAAACCATTTAACCTACAATTTTAATGGTTTTTATCTTTCACTAGAATCTCTTTTTTGCTAACGTTCGTTCAGTACGTACTTACTACTTGACTTGTGTTCTGCTTCTCAACTTCAATTCTAACTGAAATTAAAATTCACTTGCACTTGAGCAGCAAACTTGACGTTTAATGACATTTATTAAAAAGTAAAATTTCATTAAGAAAATGTATATTTTTTTTTGTTTGTTTTTATTTAACGACACACTCAGCAGCAAGAAGTTTATGTCCACAATATACAAATGTACTTCAGTTCAGCATACGAAACAACCCCACTTTTGTTTTTAATCTTTATGTTGGATTTTAATGGTTCTAAGGCGGGGACATTTACTGCTAGAATCTATCTTTTATAATGTTGGACAATAATAGAGAGAGAGAGAGATAAAGAAAGAAAAGTGCATGTTTAAATCAACATTAAAAACAAAATTGTTATATTTATTTTGTTTTTATATTTTTTTTATTTTTATGAGGTGTTAAAATTTTGTTGTTTGTGTCCAGTAATTTTATTAAATCGCTTTTATCGGAGTAGAAATATGTGGGTGGATAGACTTCAAGTGACAAAAATGGTTTCAAATTAAAATGTGCGGGAAAGCTCTATAAATGGTTTCAAATTTCTATACCCTACACCACCAATCCAATCGGCTCAGAATTCTAAGTCGATTTAGCTATGTTCGTCCGTCTGTTTGTCTGTCCGTCTGTGTGTCCATGTAAACCTTGTGCGCACTCTACAGGTCGCAATTTGGCACATACTCTTCTTTTGACCCAAGGAAATGGTAAAAATCGGTCCATTATTCCGTATAACTCCAATACAATCGTACCCCCGAATATGATCGGGCCTCATTTAATAATAAGTCCCCTTCAGAAAATGACTTGATGGTCAAAATTCACTTATAAACACTAATATCACGATGATATTCTGTATAAATAACTGATGTAAGCGTAAATCCCTCTATCAAAACTTATAGGGATAGGACCATATTAACCCCCTTCCTCCATATAACCCCTCTTTTAGAAGATCCCTTTTTTGTCAACAAATTGTTAAAATATTTCTGAATTAAGGTAAAAACTAAATTAAATACTTTATTATTAAAAAAGTAATCAAAATTTGTAACATAATCTCTGGTGTAGGGTATCATATGGTCGGCCATGCCCGACTATATATTCTTAATTAAACGTTGACTTGGAATTCAGAAAACATTGGTAGATAAGAACTGGAATGCATAAAATAATTTCAACTAAATGAGAATTATATTTATAACACAGGCCAACAAAAGTCGAAACCCAAAGTGACGCTTCATCCAAATCTGGCCTCAAATTTATCAGAATTTATCTATCAGGTTTTCCAGATATGTCACAATATGAAGTTAGAAAAAACACATATTTGGACAGATTTGAAACGCAATAACAGCGCCAAGATTCCCTCATTTATAGAATCTCTTATATCATTCAATCTGTCCACTTTAAAATAAAGATTTGACTACTGTTATATCATCCTCTTTCTTCGGGATATCTCGCATTGATTGCCTTTATTTATAACCAGTTTTGCTGATTTTAAAGACGAAATTTCTTGAAAGCATATCTGACAGAATTATTAAAGATTTGAATCCCAAAGTTTTCTGGGTTTTTTCAAAAAATTTAAGTCATCAAACATACAGAAAGTATCCGCTATAAATATACTTTATAGGTTCGGAAAATTATATTATAGAAATTACAAACGAAATTACAAACTTATAAGAACGCTTTCAAATATGTTGAGTATTACAACTTTTTGAACAAAAATTTTAAACAAAAAACTCTGTTCTAAAACAGTTTACTGAAGCCTAGAATTATTTCTGAGGGTGACAAATTCGTTCATAGCTCTTCAACAGTTGTAGTAAAACTGTGCTTTTATAATGGTTTAAGAGAAGGCAATACAAAACAGCTTCTCAGTCATATAAGCGGTAAGCGGCAGTCAATACCAAAGTAATAACCTGATATTAATAAGCTTATAATGAAAAATATACTTTCCTTTTTATATTAAGCAATTTTTTCTTCTTTATAACAACCAAAATTATTACCTAAGCATGGTAAAAATTCTAGAACATTTCCTTAGCCCCCCCTCCACTAAACTTCATTTCCCAAAAATAATCTCTGTCATTGTTAATACTTAACAAATATTTCTATTTAATTTAGTATTTGAATTTTTTTTTATTTGCTACCAAACATACATAAATAAATTTATGACTTTTTCTGATGACTCGCTAAAAATCGTAGAATTTTTGTAATAAAAATATTTATTACAAATTTACTGAAACATTAAACATCAAATATTCAATTCAATTGAATACAAAAAATATTTAAGATTGCAAATATCATTTATAAATAAAAACTTGGTAATATTAAACTAGTAAAAACAATAACATTTCTTTCCATTTAATATTAGATACTTGTCATTTTTTTATATAAATGACAGTGATAAGGGCTGCTGTTTGTCAGTTGTTTAAAACAAATTTTCATGTTTTTCCACGTTTGTTTATTTTTAGTTTTTCTTCTTTCGTTTTCGAGCTAATGCTGCTGCTAAAACAATTTCACTTTTCATTAAATATTTATAAAGTTTAAAAGTGCAAAATCATTTTGTAAAGTTTAAAGGTAATTTTTGGCTAAAAACAAATACCTTTACATTGTATTTTTTCCTTTCTCATTCTGTGTTCTATTTGCTTTTTTGTGTTTTAGTTATTTTTCCAGGATTTTGTTTGTATAGTCTGTGTGTGTGTGTGAGTTTGGCTCATGTTGATGTCAAGTTGATGTAGAAAATTTTGCTGTTTTGTCGTGTGAAATATAAGACAGCTGTCAGTTTGCATTCGTTTTTTTTTTTGTTTGTGCTTTTTGTCTGTCATGGTTTTTAATATTAATAAAAGCTTCTGTGGTTTAGTTTGTATGTTTTAACGAAGAATGGTAAAGTGAAATTCTACAAAATAGAAGAATTTTTCCTTTTTTCGGTTTTAGCAAAAATATACCCCGTTGGTAGTAGTATCAAATGTCAAAGTTATAATTGTCACAATAACAATTTTAGGTACTATTTTTTGAAAGTACTTTTTGAATTAGTACACAGGGGGAAAAAGAAATATACACGCTTGGTTCCAAAGTGATACCAAACTGTTTATAACTGTTCAATAACATCTGTTGTCAAAGTATATACATACGTACGATAATACTATGCAATGTTGACAACGTTGCTTTGTCAATTCGTTGTTTTATACACATCCGTTGTCTAAATGTTAACAAACGTGGTAAGCTCACCATTGACAAACAATCCGATGTCAATAGTAACGTTTGTTAACATTTAGACAAGGGATGTGTATAAAACTTAGATTTCGACAACGAATTGTTGCAATGTTGCCAACGTTGCGTTGTCAACATTACATAGTGTTGTATATACTTATACGGATGTTATTGAAAAATTATAAACACTTTAGTGTCAACTTAGTACCAGGCATGTATATTTCTTTTTCCCTCTGTGTATGAAAAGAAAGAGGGAAATTTTGATATCTATAGTCTTCAGATATTCACAATGTTGAAGTGACAGTTGTGCTTTTTATAACATCTTAGAAAGATAATAGGTTCCATGGAAGTAGTTAAATAACTAGTTCAGTTTCCTTTCACTTCTTTTAAGTGTGTTTCAAAGGCATGCAAATAACTTTTAAAAACATTCACTTAACCAAGATTGTAATTAAATTACTAACCTTTAATACCAATAAAGTACATTAGTGTTAATTTCCCTACAATAAAACTTAATAAATCTCTTGAAGTTGGACATTTTTAGAGCATAATTAACATTTTACAAAACCTCTCCAATCAACGAACAAAGTTTTTTTCAAAAACTCAAAACAAACATGAACATGTTGTGTTTTGCCTAACAGTTTTCAAATCAATTAGATTTGTAACTCTTTAAATGAAAATTATGTTTAATGGTTGTTGTTAACCCGTTTTCTTCTTTTTTCCATTTTACAGAGCGGCACAAAAACTTGCACAAAGTACATCAACAAAATCGTCAGCACGCACCAGCGATATGACAAATACTTCCGCACGCAATGGTGGTTTTTGTGGTGCCTTACAGAGGGCGCCACCGCCCATGCCGCCCGGCCTAGCGCGACGTTTAGCCAACAAGGAAAACTATGGCATTGGCAAGGTAAGTTTTTTAAATTGTTATTTTAACTGCCATATAAATTTCGTTTTTAAGGCTTAATGTGGCCTGCATGTTTAGTAATTTAGAATCATGCAAATAGTATGTTTTGTATATAAAAAAAACTAGACCATTAAGGTAGAATTAAAAAAAGAATGAACTTAAATTGTTATGGCTGCAGGAAAGGTTAATGACTATGTTGCATTACATACCAGAGTCCTTAAAGCAAATATATAATATGTTTTATATATTTTTGCATTATAAAGTGTTTACATTAATCTTTTGACAGTTAGAAAATGTCATTAAAATCCTTTGGCTTCGTTAAAACAAAAATATGCTTTTAAATTTTTTACTTTTAGGTTAAAGTGATGTTAAGAGTAGCAGATACTCATACAGACTTAGAACAGCCGCATTTCATGACGGTGGATAAGAAAAAGAGACAAGTGACTTTAACTGATCCGGCAGCTGCTTCCAATGTGGCGGCTTCTACTTCCCAGGAACGGGGACCCATGGTGGCGGCACCCAAAATGTTTGCCTTTGATAGTTTATTTACGGCAGAAGATCAACAGGTATGTTTAAGGTTCACTGGTTTCCCTTAAAATCACAAGTTTATACATTCATATACCCACTAACCATACACATTAAATTGTTAATTTATTTATTTAATTTCCTTTCATTCTTTCTCTTTCCTTATATTGTAGTCTGATGTTTGTGCATCTGCCTTGTCTGAAGTAATCCCTGCCGTTTTAGAAGGTTCCGATGGCTGTCTGCTTACTATTGGTTATCCCAGTTCCGGTAAGTTGTCGTCTTTTGCTTCACTACCATTTGTATTCATTTCCTGGTCATAAGGAAATTGCAATAAATTCTTTTAGCTCGTATGTCCTTTAGATTTTGGTCAACCAAACTACACATGCTTATCTTTAGCTGCTTTTTTTTTAAATTCATGTTATATTCATTACAGGTCAGTCGAAGACAATGCTGGGCGGTGTTAATCCACCCATTGAGTTAGGTGCCATTCCTTGTGCCATTTCTTGGTTGTATAAGGGCATTAACGAGCGACGCCAAAAGAGTGGTGCACGTTTTTCGGTGCGTGTTAGTGCTTTGGGCGTGAGTGCCACAAAACCAGATTCAACGTCAAAAGATTTGTTAGCAGCTCATGCAACGGGTAAGTTAATTGTTCTGTCTAGCTTTCTGAAGTGTAAATGGAAATGATGAAAAAGGTATGACACAGGAGTTTTCTGTTTTTTTGGAGACATGTAAAACGTTGTCCAGGGAATGGTTTAATTGGATGATATTTTCCTTTTAAAGAGTAGTGCAACCGAAACACTTGGAGAATAAAGTTTGCGAAAATTATTTTATCCAAAAAAATCATGTGACAACTGCACGGTAGCCATAGAAATCTGAACAGGAGTTATTAGGAAAATTGAGAAGGATATTCTCTTTCCTCGGTTCCGTTAACTAAGATAAGAACTTTTAGAGGTTGGCAAAGTTTCCACCGTGACGTTTCCTTTCAGTGCCAGCTGGTTTCGGAAGATTTCTCTATTTTTTAGCAAAATTGAGACATTAATGTATACATATATTTCCAGGGTTTATACTGTCCCTACGACTTCTTATGTCTACATAAGATAGAAGACCTATGATATTACTTGACCGTTTGTATATCGATGGTAATTTTAGTACCTTCATGAATATTTTTCTTTGCTAGAACTTTTCTAAACTAAGAAAAATCCACAAAATTCGCCAAATACTCACAAATTTACAAAATATATTCAAATATATCATTCATAATATTTTCACGTCTTTAACGGTCATTTTGAGCGCCATTACAAAGGTACTTTAAACTTCTTTACACTAACAGTTAAAGTACACTATCATTAAAATAATTTAGAGATCATTCAGCTATAAACTGCTATCAAATACTTTGCAACCAAAGACCCTCTAAGATAACTGCATAGAATCACACGCATATACAAAACTCCAGGATAATCCTGCCATAATGTACAAACAAACATTTCCAACAACAAGTATAAGAATTCAAATATGTATTTAAATTAAAAATGACTCCCTTAACGTACGTTTTTCCCTGCAGCAGCATAAACTTTTAAACATACTTACGTCTACCGTGCTTAAACCATACGACTTTAATATAACCACCCAAGTAGGGATTGTAAGAGCAAATACGCACACATTTCCTCTATCACTTTAGTGTTCTCATCATTTGCATTACGTCTCCAATAAGGAGAGTACGTTAATGTTTAATTTCACATTGTTAAAATACTATTTTCTACTTATTTTCTTTTCAACTTTTGGTTCCTTTGGCTCCTCTGCATTCCTACAATGAAATAAAATGAAAAACAAATAGACTCTGATGACTCTCCGGGGGTTTATTTGCGTGACGATTTTCTGGGTGGCCCTACGGAGTTGCGAGCCCCCACTGCTGAACGTGCTGCCTTGTTCCTAGATGCTGCTTTAGCTGGAAGACCACAAGGTGGTCTTGAGCCTGCCATGATATTTACCCTGCATGTCTATCAATACAGTTTATCACGCAAGGGTGGAGGTAAGTTTATCAGACTCTCTTAAGCACATAGAACTTTTTCATATTTAAATACCAGTACTAACGAGCAATTGAATGTGAATTTTAATCTAATCAAATATTATAATATTTTCTTTAATGCTTTCTTTTATTTCTGCATATATAAAGTGGCTGGTGGCAGAAGTCGTTTGCATCTTATTGATTTGGGTGGCTGTGCCAATCGTAGTGGTGGTCTTCCTTTATCCGGCATAGGTAACATTTTGTTGGCCATATTAAGTGGTCAACGTCATCCACCCAATAAAGACCATCCATTGACGCCACTATTGAAAGACTGTCTAGCACCGTTGACATGTCATGTCGCCATAATGGCTCATGTTATGCACACCCAGGTAAGTTCTTAGCAAAAGCACTTAGTTTACAGCATCCTGTAAGATTAAAATCAAGCAGAGACAGTTTGCAAAGAAGGGAGAGTAAGATGTTTTGGGAGACAGTTAGTTATAGAGAATACGTGCTAATGAATTCTTAATCTATAATGTAAAATGTGTTGTCATTGCAATGTCATTGTCAATAGACAATGCATTCATAAATTGTCTCCATTGCATCTTCATCTTCCTGTATGCAAAACGATGTTTGAACAAATCCAAATGACAGTTACTTATGACTAATGTTTTCAAATCTAATATTTCTAATGTATCGTTGTGTAGTCTACTTCTCTATTTAAAATTGCAGTCGCATACGGATGCTCTAACGACCATACAATTAGCCTCACGTATTCATCGCATGCGAAGGCGAAAGCATCGTTTTACTATGGGTGGTGATAAATCAGGAGTGGGTGGTTTGACCAATGGCATGAATGCTGGTAAGTATTATGTTTGCTGTTGTTGTTGTTCGAGATTAATTTCCAAATTAAAACGATAAATGCTTTTACCCATTCATTGTACTACAATGTATCTTTATAACTAAACATATCATTCTTTTTCTTTCCATTCCTTTTATTTCGTTTCTTATGAAGGTCATCAATCTACTGGCTCATCTGCCGGCTCAGGTGCTGACCCTTCTAGTTCAGAGCTGTCAGCAGACACAGTCATTTATATGGGACCTAGTGATGATGCCACGGATGGTGAACATCCCCCTGTTTATTTGCCGTCTTTGAGTTGCGGCGACCAACGTGGTGTAATGAGTAAAGCTTTAAAAGGCAGTGGTGTGGAAAAACAACAACCGAGCCCCTCCAAAATACCAGGTTCAGCTAAAAAGGTGGTGGCTCAAAAGACACCTCAAAGTCCTGTAGTGGCTGCTGGTCGTACTGGTAGTTTAAAACGCACAACTCATGCTAACAGCCCTACGTCACAAGGTAATGCGGCGAATGCCTCACAACCCATATGTGAACAACCTCAGTTTTACTCTCCGGTGCATAGTGTGAAAACTTTACCAAATTCTGCCTCGTCACCCAAGATAGTAGCGAGGTGCTTTAAGACATCCTGGTATGACCATGATGTGTACTAAAGCCTCAAATGTTCCTTCGCCCAAAGGGTCTCCTCTAAGAAGACCGGGAGTAGGTGGTGTGGCCGTAGCCACCAATGAAGCTGGTGAATGTCCAGGTAGTCCTATGCGTAAAATCACCGAAGAACAATGGATTGATGGTCCGCGTGTTTCAAGAGCTAAGGTAGCAGAAGCCAGACATCTAATGCGTGAAGTAAATCATATAAAACAGTGTGAAACGTGGATAGATGGTCCCAAGTCACAATCCAGTCGTTCTCTTACAGCCGGTAATCTTCCTATAGCTGCTTCCCAAGTCCAAGGTTATGGTTTTATGGATTCCCATAAAAAGTCTATGATACGACAATGGGTGGAATATCAAACTTCTCAAGTCTTCCAAACGGCCTCGGCTGGTTCTTCACCTACACATACGCACAGAGAACAACAAGCTCAGCATTTACGCAACATTACCTACCATATGTCACAACTCAAACAAAAGTCTCTCGATAATCCCGAAGATTTATATGCCACCAGCACTAGACAACAACAGCATAACGCAGGAGATCAACATTCGCTTGCGCAGCAGTCAACTGGAATTGGTTAATCCCGATTGGCCCTGGTCTCATCAACAATATGGACACTACAAATTCTTCCGCTCCCGCAGAAATACGAGAAGCCCATCATTATCGTCAAAATTCCGGCCATTCACAACCACCCTTAAGCTCACATTTAACGCATAACGAGACCTATATCAATGAAGAGACTGATTTACATTCGATACATTCGCACGCCAATAATTTGTATGGCTCTTTGGGTCATCATCATGCTCCGCACATACCCACTACATCGGCTTCCGACACCAATCTACCCATTGATCGTCAAGGTGATTGTGATGAAGATCAAGATAGTGGTCCTTCGGAAGTTCCTCCTGCATTACCTTTAATAGAACCTTTAGGTTCAAGGGAAATATCCCACGAGAGTTTGCATCGCATATTATCGCGACATGTTTCGCGGGAATCTCTCTATCAACAGCAACAGCATGAGATCAGACGTCAGGAAGAACAGTTGGTGCATCGTCAACTTTCGAGACAATCCTCGCATCATTATTCACAGCAAAGTATGCAGATGTCGGATTGCGGTATGCAAGTTACGGAAGAGGAGATCGCTCGAACAATGGGTGTGGGGTAAGTGTTTAAGAATTTGTATATATTTTTGTTATTTCTTGATGGTTCAACAAAGATAGAAGTTTTTATGGATGTTTGTGTCTTAATTTTTCGTTTGTTCTTTTTAGTGAACATCCTTTGGCTGCTTTGAGTCATGTGGAAAATATGTCCATTGTTTCGAGTTTCAATATGGCTGGCGATGCGTTTAGTGATTGTGCCATGGGTGAAAGAACGAGGTGAGTTTAAAATCTTAATCGAAGTTTTATCATAAACTATGAATTCAATTCGCTGACAAATCAACATTAAATATTGTTTTACTTCTAATATTAACTTCTTATCTCTGTTTTTCTTTACCAATTACTTTTTCAGGAACCAATTTGACCAATTAGCGCGTCTACGTGAAATATTCACCTCACAGCTAGCCATGGCGGAAGTTACACCAGTCTTTCGCAGTGGTTGTGATGTGGGCAGTGTTTACAGTGAGCCAGCCTATCGTTTTAACACTGGACCAGGCAGTGTGTGCAGTGAACCGCCTTATCGATCACCAAGTCCAAGGTAAGAACAACTTTTTATAACCTTAAATTTAATTTAACATCAAACAACTTTAATATTAAAACTAATAACGTTTAAATTTATTTTAATTTTTTATTTATTTTGTATTATTTTCTCTTCTACCCTGTACTTTAGACAGCCCTCTCGAAGTCCCAGTCAAGGCAGTCTACCCAGCTTAAATGGTATATGCAAATAGCGGGAATGGAACAATATGCTTCCCTACGTCATCCAGATGGCGCCTCTGATCCCAATTTACCAAAAGTGGAAAAACCTTTTGTTTTGGAACATGAAGACATCTGTGAGGTGGACGAAAAGTCAGCCTTACTCTCACCCTCTAAACGTTCATCGTTGGAAAACGAAGAAGAACACGATGATGTTGTACTCACACAACTAAACACCTCTCTACCCATAACCAATCAATCCCAATTACCTCTATTACCCCTAAATACCTCATCGGAAGCCTATGACAGTGGTCATGATTCCTCTACGCCTCGTACATCGAAACACTCGGGCATATCGAGAAGAGCGGAAAGTGGTTATCATAGTGTGGCCACAGCCAGAGATAGTGATGAAAGTAGCTTTACTTCCGGTCTATCTAAAGAGCATCACAATCGTATAACGGTGAAAAAGAAACGACAGGATAAAGGTTTGTGTACTTGGTTAATAAATCCATTTACGTGTACTTATCCAGAGACTGAGGGAGAAATAAGCGATTTTTAAATTTGTGTTTAAAGTTAAAAAAACGAAAACCAAAACCCACCAGAACAAATTAAAACAAAGGAAACTTTTAAGCATTTAAATACATTTATAAAAAAATATAAACGAGAATTGAGAAATTCCCAAAAAGGCCAAATTTTTAAATTTTAAGAATTTGAAGAAACATGACTGACATTTTTTTAGTTTATTTTTTTTTGTATTAGATAAATATGATTAAAGAAAATATAAATAAAAAAGAAGAAGAAAAACTTGTTGTGCTTTAAATTTGCAAAGAAAATGAAATAAAAGCTTTTATATATTTAAAGCTTAAAGCTAATGCTCAAGCTTTAAAGCAGCTATTATAATTAATAAACCTTATTCCAAACAAAAATTAAAACAAAATTAGAAGATAAACAACAATTCAAATTATTTCTATTCGATTTGAGTTGCCAAGCTTCTCCACTAAACAATACAAATCCGTATATGATTTTCTAAGTTTCTGATAAAAACAGCCTTAAAACTTTAAAGCTCTTTTCTTAAAAAAATGTTAAACTCCCAAAGAAAGGGATTGATGGCAAGAAAGACTTTAAATAATAATTTTGTTAAATTTTATAATTTGAATTTAATTTTAAGAATGTTTTTTATTTTGTTTTCATTGTTATTGAAATTTAGCTTAAAAAAACTGTTTAAAAGTATTGACAAACAAAAACAAACACAAACTATTAGTTTAAGTATAATATGAAGAGAATAACTTTAAATACACATAAAATCATATTAAAAGAAATATATAAAATTTTGTTGCCAGTTTTGCCTATTTAAACTATGTTAAAGGTTTATTAAAAAGTATAATTAAAATTATAATTAATTAGCAAAAAAAAAAAAAAACAAGAATCATTCAATAAACTATAAAATGGAAAGTAAAAAAAGTAATAAACTACAATATTAAAAGTAATTATATTAAATAACAACAACAATATATTATAATAAATTAAATTTATTACAAAAACCAAACGAAACGAAAATAAATATTATATGTATTTATACCAAAAAGAATGGAAAATATAAAACGAATAAATTTATATTATTTAACAAAAATAATCACTTATTATTAAAAAAGAAAATATTATAAAATAATAAAATATTTGACATGAACTAAACTAAATTATTAATCAGCTAAACTAACTTTAATATAAACAAATTTAATTAAATTTATGTTTTAGCATTTTGTTTTTAATTTTTAAATAATTTTAATTTTTCCTAGTTTTTGTCCTTGTAAGAAATTTTGTGAAAAATTTTAAGTTTATTTTAATAATAAATATATATTTTTAAAAGTTTTTTATTTTTTAACCCTCAGATTTTTATATAAATAATTGTATATAAAACAAATAAAATTTATTGAATAAAATAAAAAATATATTAAATAGTATGTACTATTATTATAAATAAATAAAAATAAATGAAACAATTTTATATAAATTATAATAAAAACAACAAATTATATTAAAAACATAATTGAAAAGTGTTTTTTAAATTTTGAGAATGGGTTTTGGTAAGTAAGACGTTTCGACAAGGATAATTTTTTGAAATAATTTCTACATTGAATTAATGAAAAATGTCATTAAAATAAGAAATTCATTGTAATAATGCAGTATGTTTCATTAATAATATGAATTTTCATTTCGCAAGGTTGGATAATACCGGCTGCAAAATTTTCGAAAACTAGTACTGGCTTCAAAATAATGTTTTTAAAATAAAGGATTATGACCTTAAGACTAATATTTGTAAATTAGTCTTCTTAATGAATCAGAGAGAAAGAGTAAGGTGAGATATTAAATTTCACAACTCCATTTAATATCTACTAAAATGTTGTTTAATCTCTCTGAAATCTTATCGCCTTAAACCATAATGGACATTAACAGTTTTTTAAATTAATACAATTAAACTTGCGTGTTGCAAAAACGCCAAAGAATAACACATACATAGCAAAGAAAAACTAATTCAATACATAAATTTAAGTCATTCAAATCATTTCACACAGTGAACCACCAGTCAGTCATTCGTTCATTCATTTACATTCGCATTAATTCAGTGGCACTTTTACAAATAGACATACTCACACAAAGAGCACAAGTCACAACAAGACGTAAACACGAGACTTTTTATATGAAGTCAAAAAAAAATGGTTAAAAAGAAAAAAAAGTTGGTTGAAAGGAAATGTTTTTTATAAAAAAAATTACTACAAAAACAAAAGAGAAGAAAGAATATTTGTGGCAAAATAAAATTTAATGCCTCATAACATGCAATAAAATTAAAGAAAGTGTTGTTTTTAATAAATTTTGGAGAAATATTCTTGAAAACTTTAACTGTAAATGCGTCTTTTAAATACTTTTAACAATTCAAGTTTAACTATATAAAAGATTTGTTAGGAATAAAAGTGAATACAGGTCAACTCATTAGTAAATAGGCTGGTCACTAGACTAGTAAACGGACTAGTCAATATATTGATCAAAAGCATAGTTAATAGACTAGTCAACAGATTAGTCAATAGGTTAGTCAACAGACCAATCAATAAACTGGCCAATTGACTAGTTAATAAGATAGTAAACACACTAGTCAAGAGACTAGTCCATGGAATTGGTTTACGTGTCCAAAGCATAATCAGTCGATTGGTTCATAAGGTAATCAATGGACTAGTCCATAGTATAGAATAGTCTAGCCTATAGTCTAGCTATAGTCTAGTCTATAGTCTAGTCTATAGTCTAGTCTATAGTCTAGTCTATAGTCTAGTCTATAGTCTAGTCTATAGTCTAGTCTATAGTCTAGTCTATAGTCTAGTCTATAGTCTAGTCTATAGTCTAGTCTATAGTCTAGTCTATAGTCTAGTCTATAGTCTAGTCTATAGTCTAGTCTAGTCTATAGTCTAGTCTATAGTCTAGTCTATAGTCTAGTCTATAGTCTAGTCTATAGTCTAGTCTATAGTCTAGTCTATAGTCTAGTCTATAGTCTAGTCTATAGTCTAGTCTATAGTCTAGTCTATAGTCTAGTCTATAGTCTAGTCTATAGTCTAGTCTATAGTCTAGTCTATAGTCTAGTCTATAGTCTAGTCTATAGTCTAGTCTATAGTCTAGTCTATAGTCTAGTCTATAGTCTAGTCTATAGTCTAGTCTATAGTCTAGTCTATAGTCTAGTCTATAGTCTAGTCTATAGTCTAGTCTATAGTCTAGTCTATAGTCTAGTCTATAGTCTAGTCTATAGTCTAGTCTATAGTCTAGTCTATAGTCTAGTCTATAGTCTAGTCTATAGTCTAGTCTATAGTCTAGTCTATAGTCTAGTCTATCTAGTCTATAGTCTAGTCTATAGTCTAGTCTATAGTCTAGTCTATAGTCTAGTCTATAGTCTAGTCTATAGTCTAGTCTATAGTCTAGTCTATAGTCTAGTCTATAGTCTAGTCTATAGTCTAGTCTATAGTCTAGTCTATAGTCTAGTCTATAGTCTAGTTCTATAGTCTAGTCTATGTCGGTCTATAGTCGAGTCATAGTTCTTCTATAGTCTAGTCTAATGTCTAGTCCTTATATCTAGTCTATAGTCTAGTCTATAGTCAGTCTATAGTCTAGTCTATAGTCTAGTCTATAGTCTAGTCTATAGTCTAGTCTATAGTCCTAGTCTATAGTCTAGTCCTAGTATCTAGTCTATAGTCTAGTCTATAGTCTAGTCTATAGTCTAGTCTATAGTCTAGTCTATAGTCTAGTCTATAGTCTAGTCTATAGTCTAGTCCTATAGTCGAGTCTATAGTCTATGCATAGTCTAGTCTATAGTCTAGTCTATAGTCTAGTCTATAGTCTAGTCTATAGTCTAGTCTATAGTCTAGTCTATAGTCTAGTCTATAGTCTAGTCCTATAGTCTAGTCTATAGTCTAGTCTATAGTCTATTCTATAGTCCTAGTCTATAGTCTAGTCCCTATAGTCCTAGTCTTAGTCTAGTCTATAGTCTAGTCTATAGTCTAGTCTATAGTCTAGTCTATAGTCTATCTAGTCTATAGTCTAGTCTATAGTCTAGTCTATAGTCTAGTCTATAGTCTAGTCTATAGTCTAGTCTATAGTCTAGTCTATAGTCTAGTCTATAGTCTAGTCTATAGTCTAGTCTATAGTCTAGTCTATAGTCTAGTCTATAGTCTAGTCTATAGTCTAGTCTATAGTCTAGTCTATAGTCTAGTCTATAGTCTAGTCTATAGTCTAGTCTATAGTCTAGTCTATAGTCTAGTCTATAATTTAAACTATAATATGGTTTATAATCTAGTCTATAATATTTCTATAGTATAGTCTAGTCTAGAGCTATGTTAGATTGTCACAGATCTAGATTCATTTAAAAGCCCAGCTTTCTTATTCTTAATTTTTGTAATTTATATTATTTCAATTGCATGTCTAAATAATGTGATAATCGGCGATTTTACTTATCAGTCGCCGCCAGATATGTCAAATCTATAACAAGATCATCGAGATAAGTCTATTCTCTCTAAAATATTAATTACTGGGCGTCTTTTAAGTATTAAAACTACTTAAAAAAATCTACACACATGATGATTAATTTTCAAAATTTTATATTCATTCAGCAAACTACAACATATTTCAAATATATTACCAACATATTCGAAAAATTTTAATATTCCGCACCTCACTTATGGAAACTTTCTGAACAATTAAGCGTAAAACAATTAAAATAATATCAACGCCAAAAAACAAATATTTACTTACACATGATTTCATACCTGTAGTGTATAATAAATTAGCAAAATACTCAAATAAAATTTATATTTATTTTGCCATAATAATTAAAATTTCTATACCTCAAACTGTAACTGTCATTCATTCCAGACGCCAAAACTAAAAAGCGAGGCAAATTAAACATATTAAAACAAGCATTTTTTGTTGGCAGTAAGTATTCTGATTAATAGTGGTGGCTATAAAATTACAATTTTGCAAATAAAATATAAATTATACGAGTATTGTTTTAAATTACCTACAACA